GTCAAACGGGCTCTTGCGAGCAACTTTTTCACGTGCTTCGAACTTCTGCAACAACGGTTGCGCACCTGCCAGGGCCATCATCCCTGTCAAATAATACCATGCGGGACACATTCGTTTTTTCTTCGCGCGCGCACGCCGTCGTCGTCGGCCGCGGGGCCCTGAATAGTAGCCACGGTCGTCCGCATGCCACGAAGTGAAGTGTCCGAACGTCATAGGGCGGGAAGCTGGGTGTGGGTGGTGGCGAAGAGTCGTTTGGAAATTTGGTAGAGCTTGAACCGGCCCCCCCACAAAGTGGGGGTATTGCCCGCCTCCTATGAAAACCCTGGCACTGGTGAGAACGGAGTGTCCCCAGTCTTAAATGATTGTTGTTGTTGTTGTTGTTGTTGTTGTTGTTGTTGTTGTTGTTGTTGTTGTTGTTGTGCTGCTGCTTCTGCTGCTGCTGCTGCTGCTGCTGCTGTTTTTTGGGAAATTTGGCCTCTGGGCGGCTCCTCGTCGCCACGGCTCGGACATTCTGGTCGAAGCGCTCCCCCTGGCCGCTCGCCGTCGCCAGCCGCCGCCGCCGCAGATGTTGTCGCCATGCGTTTTTTTTGTTTTTGTTTTTTCGTCGCTGGTTGTGTTTGGATTTCTCGGAGGCTCCTCGACGCAAGGGCAGGTCCAGGTCCAGTGGTATTTTTTGCCAGCAGTTCCAGAACCCGTCCGGTCTTTGTTTCTGGTTCCTTGTATTCCTGGATTCTGGGGGGTGCTTCGTGGCCCCACTATTGTCTCAATGATGAAAAGCTGGTCCTGGGAAGAGGTCCAGACCTTGAGGGGACCACGTCCACAGAGTTAGGGACGTCGGCTTCGAGGTTCGGCATTTTGGATGTTTTTGCTTTGACATTTTTTTGGTGCTCCTGAATGATCTCCTCGTCGTCCCGGCTCGGTGGTTCCCTGGACAACTTGGGACATAACGCACCCTGGGAGAGGTCACGAGGCCGATGTTTCAGGACCGCCGCGAAAGGAGGTGGAGGAGGAGGAGGAGGAGGAGGAGGAGGAGGAGGAGGAGGGAGACCTGTCCTGCTGTTTTTTTCATCGTGTTCGGACTCCTGGGGCCCTGGGCCGGCAGACTACCTACCACTCGGGATGAAATGCCGATCCTGGCGCGAGATTCGAGGTTGTCGAGGTTCGGGGTTCTCTCGCGTTTTCGGAAGTTTTCGGTGGTTTCGAGCCTCGGGATGCTTTCCAGCAGCTGCGCCTCGCCGAGAGCGTTCCGAGGGTGCTCGGATCGTCCCGAACCGTCGCCGGAGTCCCGAGTAACAGCCCGAAGACCACCAAGGGCAACGTCAGGGCGGGGATCTGCTCAAGGGGGGATGCATTGATGCCCCGATGTTCTTTCGATATGGGAGCCTGTTGGCAGCTCACTTGGGCCGTTTTGGAGGCCCTTGGGGCTATCTTGGGGCCCTCTTGGGGCTCTCTTGGGGCTCTCTTGGGGCTCCCTCTTGGGGGCGTCTACGAGGCCGATCAAATGTCTCTTGGGGGCCCTCTTGGGGCGCTCTTAGGTGCTCCTGGGGCCGTCGTGGGCCCCTCTCGGAGCTCTCTTCGGGCTCTCTTTGGCCATCATGGGGCCGTCTTGAACTGAGGCCTCGAGAGCCCATCCGAAATGAGAAGGCGAGAAGGAAACACCACACATTGATGCTACTTAGGCCTTGCACGGGTTTTGGCCTCTCTGGGGGTCCTTGGGAGGCTCTGTGGCCACTTGGAGCCGTTTTGGGGCGGTCAGGCCGCCTCTTGTCCATCTTGTGCCCTCTTGGGCCACCTTTTTAGACTTGAGGCTCTCCTGGAGCGTCTTGGGCCATTTCGGAGCCATCTTGAGCCATCTTGGACGCCCTGACCGCTCGTGACCGGACCCGTGCAGACACAGGGAGAGGGAGCAAGGGGAGAGGTGAACCTCCCTCGAATGGGAATAATGAGGTTGGAAGAACAAATTCGCTAAATGTGCAGTAGGTTGAGAAGTCACTCGCCGAGAGGCCTGGTGGGATTTGCGCAGCAACGCAACATACTGCATTCAAAGCTTGGCTATGCTATGCTGCGCGAGTAAAGCAAGCGGGGACCTCCCTAGGAAACCCGGAGGAACCCTGGAGACACCCACATGACTCAGGGAGACGACCAGTGATCACCACCCATTCTCTTGCGCATACTGGGCTGCAGCATCTTAGCCAACGCCTGATCAGAGCGGGTAAGGCCTGTTCGCCAGCGTGGGCCCCAAAGAGTAAATTGTTGCACCGTGGCTGCGCGAGTCATGCGGTGCAAGCTGTGTGGTCTAAGACATGCGGTGCAGTATGCCTGGTGCAAGCCAGAGGCGGCAACGAAGCGGCAGCGCGCGACAACGTGGCGAAACCTCGCAGGTCCCACCCATCGCACGAGGCGGCACAGGGCGGCAACGTGGCGAAACCTCGCCAGACCCATTCAATTCCCTAGTAACCGAAGTCAGGACCCCTACGTACAAGCAATGCCTGTGGGACCAAAATGGAGGGCTGTGGGACAGGAGGTGGAGGAGGCTAGGATGCAGTGGATTTGTCGCTGGTATATCCGTGGTCGGAACGCTGCCAAACCAGCATAATTCCGTTTAGTCCCGCTCAGACCCGCTGCATCCCGCTTAATCGGGCTTAATCCCGCGAGGATGAGGATGGAGGAGGATGAGGAGGAGGAGGAGGAGGTGGAGGAAGAGGAGGCGGAGGAGGAGGAGGAGGACCAGTGTATACCCAAGAGTCATCAACGATGTTGGAATTAACCCTCCCTCCAAGCTCCCTCTTCATAGGCCCCTACAACGGTTCATTTCCATTGAGGGAACTGCCTCGTTGGAAGACAGGCGGTTGAATATCCTGAATCATGCCAAAACATTGTTCTCGGGATTTCAACGCCACGTATAAGTCTGACTGCTGCGTTTTGGCGATCCGGAATCGTGCCATAACGCCATTTTTTGATTTCAACACCGCGAATCAACATAATTGTTGCACCAGCATAGTCCTGATTCCTTCCAACACACCATTTCTGGTACGTTGATCTTGGGAATCCTTGAAACTCTGGAAAACTTTTAAAACGACTGTGCGCGGCGCTAAGGCGAGAGCCACATTTTGAAAAAGAACCGCCCTCAACCCGCAAATGCTGGCAATTGTTTTCAGAGAGTGTGCTCGGCGCTAAGGCGAGAACCACATTTTGAAAACGACCCGCCCTCACTCAGTGAAACTCTGGCAACTTTTTACAAAGAACGTGCGCGTTGCTAAGGCGAGAGCCACATTTTGTAAACCACCCGACCTCAATTCGTGCAACTCTTACATTTTTTGGTGAGAACGAATGTGCGCGGCGCTAAGGCGATAGCCACATTTTGAACATGACCTGCCTTCAATCCGTGAAGCTCTTGCATTTTTTTCAAAGAATGTACGCGGCGCTAAGGCGAGAGCCAAATTGTGAAAACGACCCGCCCTCCATCTGTGAAACTGTTGCCAACTTTTAAGCTTTAGAGTCATAAATGGTGAGGAAGTCTCAGGCGGAACGCCCGGCCCGCTCCACAAACTAGACTCGGGGTGCGACAGGGGGAAGTTATCTATAATGAGAAGGGATGCAGGAGGAGGAGGAGGAGGAGGAGGAGGAGGAGGAGGAGAAGG